TGATAAAAAAAAGGAATTACCTTTTGCTGTCGTTGTTAGCCATCATCGTGAGTGGCTCAGCTTTCCTCTCATGCTGAAGCAAGGACCCACTTGGTCTCTGAGCCTTTGCATGCTCTCTCTCTCTCTCTCTCTCTCTCTCTGTGCCACGAGTAGGTCACCAGTTTAATTATAAAATTGTATATGCTTAGAGAGAGAGAGAGAGAGAGGTGTTTGATTACCTGTTCCTTTGACTATCAACAGAACAACCACGCAGTCTTTTGATCCAACAAGAAACAGAGGGGGAGGGTGTCAGTGCGTGTGTTTTAAGGATCTGCCAATGGAACCCTCATTCCCAAACGTGGAAAAAAAAGTGGATACGGCAAGTTGAAGCTCAGGTTCACTGCTGCATATACACATTGTGTTGGTAACAAATTGTTTTGGAGAGTCACTATTTTAATTATTATTTTTTTTTTAAATTAAAATTGTCTATTGCCAAAATACTCCTAAATATATAGAGAAAAAAATGGTGAGAAGTGATATGTACCGCTTTAGATTATTGTTTTGTTTTGATTATAACGATATAATTAATCAAATTATTATTGTTTTGAAGATTTTTTAATTTCTTTCTAATGCTGTTGACTGTTAGAAAAAATCGGCAATGGTGCCGGGTGGTGATTGTCATGCTGACAAATAAATAACATATGAACAAATAGATAAATAAATAAATATAGTAAGATTTTTTAAATTATTATTAAAAAATTACAACGTGAAACTATTACTCAAAAATTTGAAAATTAAATTTATAACTTCAGTGCTTTTAAATATATGCTTTGATTTATTTATTTAAAAATTTAGGATGAAATACTAATAAATTTTTAAAAGTGATTTTGTGAATTGTTTAGATTTTCATTTTTTTTTATGAACCCAAAAGTCTCACTAAAGTGAAAATTACACAAAAAGATAGTTATTTACACGTTTAGTTTTAATTTTTGAGAGAGAAAATTGAGTTTTCTAAATGTGAAATTACGCATTTGGACAATCCACACTATAGAGGTTTTGGATTTTCTCTCCTGAAATAAATCTCACTCTACAAATAAGAACGTAACACTTTAATGTAAGACTTTAATAACGTAACATTTTAATGTAATATACTAAAAAACTCATTAGTGTACTTTTCTCAATCGTAACAACGTAACACTCTAAAAAAACTCTTTAGTATACTTTTCTCAAACGTAACACTCTAATGTAACCAAAAAAAAAAAAAAATTTTAGTATATTTTTTTCAAATATAACACTCCAATTAATCTAATTTCAAACGTAACACTCACCAATGTAACGCACTCCAATGTCACATACATAAAAATACTAAAAAAATTCTTAGTGTAATTTTTCCATACGTGACACTTAGTTTGAAATTATACATTTGTCCAAAACTTATTAAGGAATTTTTGTATTCCTTTTGGAATGATTTAAAAAATTCCACATTTTTTTGGAATGGTTTGAAAAATCTCACATCATTTTTTTGGAGTGTTACGTTTGGGAAAAGCACAGTAAGAAATTTTTGTGTGTATGTACATTGGAGTGTTACACTAAGGAGTTTTTTTAGAGTGTTACATTGGAGTATTACGCTTGAGTGTTACATTGGAGTGATATAATTTGAAATTACATTATGTGGAATTGAAAGTGATCTTGTGAACTGTTTAATCATCTCTTTTTTCTTGTGAACTCATTAAAGTGAAAATTACACAAAAAAATAATCACTTACACGTTTGGATTTAATTTTTGAGGGATAAAAGTAAGTTTCTCCAAATGTAAAATTACACATTTGGACAATCAACACTATAGAGGTTTTGGATTTTCCCTCAATCTTGAACAAATCTCACGTTACAAATAAGAACGTAACACTCCAACATAACATATTAAAAAAACTCTTTAATGTATTTTTTTCAAATATAACAACGTAACACTCTAAAAAAATATCTTAGTATACTTTTTTCAAACATAACACTCCTTCATAACACACAAAAAAACTCCTCAGTGTACTTTTGGAGTGTTACGTTTGGGAAAAGGACACTGAGGATTTTTTAAATGCGTTACATTAGAGTGTTACACTAAGAAATTTTTTTAGAGTGTTATATTGGAGTGTTATGTTTGAAAAAAGTATATTAAGAAATTTTTTTTTTTTTTAGAGTTATATTAGAGTGTTACAGTTTGAAATTATATACTTGTCCAAAACTTACTAAGGAGTTTTTATACTCTTTTTGAAATGTTTGAAATCCCACATCATTTTAAAATGTTTGAAAAATCTCATATTTCAAGTAATTTTTGTACTCCCTTTGAAATGTGTAAAAAATCTCACATTTCACATCATTCCAAATTAAAAAAAATTCCTATATAAAAATCCATCTCAAATTTGATTCTAATATGTTGTGTATCTTACCTTTCTAGCCCCCCTCAAAAAAAAAAAAAAAAGGAAATTAATAGAAATAATGGTATAACAATAAATCTAATTTTTAAATAATATATTAAAAATACTTTTTCAAAATCAATGAGACTAATTGATCTATAAAAAAATCTTTAGAACTAAACAGATTATCATTCCTCAAGATAAGATTTATAGGTAAATTTTTCAAAATTACTCAAAAAGTGACATTTTTTCCAATTTAAATTTTATAGAGTTGAAATTCTTACCTTATTCCCCCTTGATTGCAAAATACAAATTAAGGCATCGTTTGGAAACAGATTATTTTAGCAACTTTTTGACTTATTGGCTAAAATATGAAATAAAAAAAAAATTGTATGTTTAGAATGACTTTTTAGTTTTTTACGAAAAAATATGTAAAAAGTGAAAAAAAAAATCTTTAATTTTTTGATATAGGTTATAGACTTTTTTATTTTTTTAATAATTTTTGACTTTTAAATTAAAATTCTAGCATGCCAAACGAGACTTATGTAAAAATCTTTAAAACAATTGACTTTTCTGGAAAATTGTTTGGTTTGTTTTTTAGAAAAAATTTTGGGAAAAATTCTCTACAAACAAATTTTCAAAAGTAATTAAACCAAACAAATTTTTTCAAAAAAAATCTCAAAATTTTGTTTGGTTATCTACTTTCCAAAATCACTCTTTCTCTCATACACATCAAATCAATCACTTTTTTTAAAACTCTTTCCCCAAAATAATTTTCCAAAACTATTTCTGAAAAAAGGCAAATTCAACAAGTTTTCGTACTTTTTATCTCAAAAACTACTCTACAAACACAAACCAAACACATTCTTTTTTTCAACCAATAGAAAGGACTATTCATATCACCTTAGGGTGAGTTTGATGGGGGGATAAGAGAGGATTATTTACTGTGCGGATTGTAATTCGAGGGAAGTATCCAATCTGATGTTTGTTTTTTTTAATCCGTCGGACATGGAGTCTGGCCAGACTCCTTATCCCCCGTATGAGGGATTATACTATCCTTGGAGGGGAGGTGTGGGACAATTTTGGATGGACTATTTACTATTTACTGTGGTGAAATGACCATTTTGACCATCTACTATTTAATTATGTATTATATTTAGTAAAATTTAATAAAATTTAAATGTCTCAATTTAAAAATAAAATAATTTTATTTAACTTTTTATTGATTTTTTTTTGAAATAATTTTTTATAGATATTTTATTGATGTTTTATTTTAAAATTTTGTTTATATTTTATTTAATTTCATTATTTAAATGTTAATAGATGTTTTATTTAATTTCATTGTTTAATTATTATTATTTTTAAAAACAAATTTATTTAAAATTTTAATTAAAAAATAACATATATTTTTATTGATATTTTATTTATTTATTTTTAAAAAATAAATTTATTTAATTGTGTAAAAAATAAAATAAAATAAATTTTTACTTAATCTAACTAAAAATAATTAAAATATTAAAGGTATGTTTAATATTGCTATTACTTAGTAAACAATTGAAAAATGGTAAAATAGTCATTTGTTCATTTATCTTATCCTGTCCGTTCAACCAAACGTTGGATTTACTAGAAATAGTCATTTCCAAACATCTAATCCCATGAAAAAACAAACACATGATACATATCCAATCCAACCAAATAGTCTAGTTGGGGATTCACAGTCCCAAAACTCAAGTCCAATGAATTCTAATCCCCTTTATCGAGTCCGACCAATCAAACAAACCCTTGGAGAAATTAGTTACACAGTTCTCCTACCTGAAATGGTTTCAAATCATTGATGAAGCTATTTCCTTCTAATAATAGTATATGAAATGACTCATGTTGATAAATGTTTTAATCAATACTTGATAGTCTGCTCTTCTTTTTTTTTTTCTTTTTATATTCTAATAAGATGTGCATGTTTTAGGGTTGTTATATTCTCACCTAAATTTTCATTTTCTCTCACCTTAATATAAATGCCTTTAATTTTAAAATTGTTTGAAAACTAAAAATCCATTAAAATTTTATATGTGCTCAATATAACAGTTTTCGTGCATATATTATAACATTTTTTTGTACATAATTATATTAACTAAAAAACAATAATAATTTGTAATTTTGTTTTCTTTCCCATAATTTACTTTATTTTTCTATTTGAACTAAACATTAAACAAAGCAAAAAAACAAAAAAACGAAAAATGGGAAAAGAAGAATTGGAAATTTTAGTTGTTAATAAGATTCACCCAATTTTTATTTAGGGAGAACTACACATTAGTGGGTTTCAAAGGGAAAAAAAAAAAAAGTAAAAGTAAAAGTATTTATGATTTTAATTATTAATATTTATTTTTATTTTTTTATAAATACTTTTTTAATCACACTTATGTGTAATTCCTCTAATTTTTTTACACCCATTTTTTATGAGGTTTATAAGGAAATGACAAGTGTCCAAAACAGCTACTGTAGTGGAGCAGTTTTCAATGAACCAAGAACCGTCTCTACCCCACTCTCTTTCTGCCCCATTTTCAAGCCCACTTATCCTACTTCCTTCCCCACCTAAATAACGACCCTCTCTAGTAGACTTCAACTGTCATTGGTGGTTCACTTCATCTTCTTCCCTCTTTACCCAGCTACCCCACACACACACACACACACACACACACACACACACACATCCCATATTCAATTTCACTACCTTCTTCTTCTTCTTCTTCTTTTTCTTCTTCTTTCACTTGCTGTGAATCATCAGCTATGACCAAAGTTTCAGAACCCAGAAACTTGAAAAAGTTGTAGACATGTTTGACATCTTGTTTGGATGGAGAAAAGCCTCCAAATGGTAATTATATTGTACATATATGTGTGTTTAGTGATTGATTGATGATGGATAAGATGAAGCTGCTATGATTATTTGTTATTTGTTTTGGTGCAGTAAGAAGCTGGTGAGGGGGGTACAGTGCCGTCTCAAACTGCTGAAGAACAAGAGATGTTCAATTGTTAGGCAGTTACGCGACGATGTGGCTCAGCTTCTCAAATATGGCCATGATCAAAGTGCTTTTGATCGGGTATACTCCTCTGCTTCTTATTCAGAGAATTACAAATAGCAATCAAGTTCAGTTTTTTTTTTTTCTTCTCTCTCTATTGTCTCTGTTCTATAGTTGGTTAATATATGATCACTTAATTGAATTAATTCAAAAGCTTTTGTGAAATCTTGAATGGTAAGTCTCAATATAAGTATAATTTGGTTCTGGGTTGTGCACTATTTTTACTCTGCCTCTAGAAACCAGAGCATCATGTGAAATTACGACACAACAATTTTGAATTTTTCGGGGTTAATGGTGAGAAGAAATATCAGCTAATGGTTTCATTCCATCTATTGTAAGGCACCATAATGAAATGATGACAGAAGTCTTAATTTTTTGAAGTCCTCATTTCATGATAGAATTATTTTGTATTAAGTCATACCTAAGTACAAGAATTTCCATATGCAGCCTCAAATATAACCAATCTTTTCCTTTTTTTATCTTGATTTGTATCGATTCTCAGGTTGAACAGCTCTTTAAGGACGAAAGCATAGTAGCAGTGTATGATCTCCTGGATCATTTCTGTGAATTCATCCTCATTCACCTTTCATATATTCGTAAACACAAGTATGCCTTGCTTCAAGTTTTGAATCTTATCCCTTCGCTTCATACCTTTTAGGTTATACCAACGACATTGAATTGTGATGTAATGTTTGTTTCAGGGACTGTCCTAATGATATCAATGAAGCAGCGTCAACTCTAATATTTGCATCTGCAAGATGTGGAGATCTACCCGAGCTTCGTGTGATACGCAAGCTCTTTGGAGAGCGTTATGGCCAGAGGTTTGCACTGGTCGCTCTCGAATTACTTCCAGGAAATCTTGTTAACCGTCAGGTGCCTATTTTAATTTTTGAAACATTAATATATATATATATATATATGGTTTTTTCTCTATAGCATACTATTGGTTATTACAATTGGCAAATTATTGAATCTTTTACTACAGATAAAAGAAAATCTCTCCATACAATCAGTACCGAATGATGTGAAGTACCGATTGTTGGATGAAATAGCCAGGAGTTGCCTTCAACCTGGGCCTTTGGCACTCGAGTACTATTCTGAGCTACAACAAGAGCAGGTAATTGTTGCATTAAAAGCACATGTTTGATGTGTTATTACAGAAATTTTATGTTTTTCTGTACTGTGAAACTGCAGGTAAACAAAAATAAGGGAGATCAAGACCCGAGAAGTGATGTTCAAACTAGTTGTAATGGAGACGAAGGATCTCAAGTGCAAGCTTTAAGTATCGTGGAGGCAGAAAGGAAGATTGTGCTTGTAGATTTGATAGAGCCATATGAATTGCACCGAGGCACTGGTTGTACCGGTGCTGTTGGGACTCACACCGTCCCTTTAGACCACAAGGAAGTGGATATGGCTTTAGAATTTTCTTCAGAAAGTTCATCTCAATTGCCTACAGAAATGATATATCTAGATGACATAGAGGAGTTCAAGTCTCCCAGGAACAAAGACGAAAACTCGCAGGATCAAAGACTGTTTTTGTTCAAGTCATCAGTAATTCTCACAACTGACAAGCTTGAAGAAGATGGTTTTAGTGAAAGTTTCAAGAAAAAAAATGAATCATGGAATGAAAAGACAGGGTCAAGAAAGAGCAGGAACGAATCTGGAAAGAGACACAGAAGAAAATCAATTTCTCAGGAGAGTTTTACTGTGAAAGATGTCGAATCCACAATTTACTATGGAGACTTGTGTGCTATTTCACCAAATGACAACCATAAATCTCATCACCGGAGAAAGTATCAGAAGAAGATTCCATTGGATGAAAAGCAAAAATCATGTTGTACACAAGCAAGACTATGCAGCTTGGAAAAACCATGTTATTTCTGCATTAGTGATGAAAAAGACGATTGGGAAAATCAAAAGTGCAAAATCACAACTTTGCAGGGGCTTCCAGCACATAATCTGAAGGAAGCAAAAATCGAACACTGTGTCTGCAATTGTCAATTTTTTCGCATTGGAGACAGAAAAATGGAATCGGAGGTTCTACATCAGAAACTAAGAGGAAACTATCAAATTGCTGCTGATTCTCAATACTCTTGCTCAAGAGTGAGCAGTCCTCGGACAATAAAAAATACCCATCCCCCTTATTTGAGGGCCGTGACAATGCCCCTTGAAAGGCCAAGTGATTGTCACACTGAAAACATTTTACGATCAAATTCATTCCCATTTCAACAGCCTAGTCATTCGAGCAATGGATCACCTACTTGTCGTCATGTTCATCCAAAGCTGCCAGACTATGATCAGTTATCAGCAACATTCATGGCTCTCAAGAAAGCAAATCAGCAACATAAGACCAACCAGTTAGTTTAGTACTATGTATTAATTTGTGTTCTGTTTTCCTTGTCCTGTTTGTAGAGCTTTCCATTGAACTTTGATCATCTGTTTTTGTAGTTGGATTCAGGTTGTTTTTAGTTCTCTTATGTAATGCTATGTAGCTCCTTGTTTTTCTTCTGCTAATGGTAGTTCTGGTAAGTTACGTTTCGGGAAAAAAAAAAATTCCTAATTTTTTAAGGGATTTTTGGTGAAAAGCCACTCCCATTGGACCTATTTTGTGTGAAACCCACGGAATTAAACAACACCTCCAAAAGTCTCTCAATTAAAAAAATGTCATGAATTGACTGAAATGTCCTTCCATATAAGTGGAGAAATATGAAACAATTAACAGTAAAAATTTACTATCAATCAAAGTAAAATTTTACTATCACTATCAAAGTAAAATTTTACTGTCACCACAAGTCCAAAAGTCAATGTGTTGATAAAATCTTACTGCAGTTTAGTGTAACATTGTACTATATTTTAGAGTTAATTTTTACTATTAGGTTTGCCAAAGATTGACAACTTATACAGTGTGTCACCAACACAACTTGAGACATGAATGTAAAAGTAAAATTTTACTCTGCGTAAAAGTAAAATTTTACTCTGAAATAAGAATAAAATGTTACACTCTGAATCTAAGAGTAAAATGTTATACCCTGAATTTAAAAGTAAAATTTTACTCTGTATAAAAGTAAAATTTTACTCTGAATAAGAGTAAAATGTTATACTCTGAAACTAAAAGTAAAATTTTACTCTGAAAAACTAATAAAATGTTAGACTTTGCACAAAAGTAAAATTTTACTCTGAAAAACGAGTAAAATGTTAGACTCTGAATCTAAAAGCAAAATGTTACTCTGTACAAAAGTAAAAAAGCGAAGGCAGTGTTTGTAGCGGCTGAAGTGTTTGGCAATGACCACCTCTTAACAATAAAATTTTACTGTCATTCTAACACCAGAGTAAAATTTTACTTTAATTCTCTCAAACAAAAAACAAAGCAATAGAACCAGAGTAAAATTTTACTCTCATTATCTGAAACAAAAAACAGAGCGATAAAACCAGAGTAAAATTTTACTCTCATTATCTGAAACAAAAAACAGAGCGATGAAACCAGAGTAAAATTGGTTCTGTCAAATGAAATCAGATAAAAAACAACAAAAATAAATCCAAAAACAAACAAAAAAACAAATAAAAACAAAACAAATTAATCAACAAATCAACATATCTAATTGAGAAGAAAAACTTCTAAAACTCGATTAACAATCACAAATCTTAATGAAACTCTCGTTTAATTGAGAGTGTTGATGGTCGGCGTCGAGATCGTCTATTGTTGACCAAGTGAGAGATCTTTGGCTGCGAGATCTTTAGATTTGGAGATCGTCTACATCAATTTCGTTCTTGATTTCGTTCCTGCGAGATCTTCAGTTCATATTTCAAATATTTCAAATGTATGATACGTATATATAGAAAGACAATATTGTGATAAAAATAATATAAATTATAAAATGTCCTTATTAAGATAGGCATTTCCTACTCAGGGACTTTTTGAAAGAAAATTGATTGGGTTATCTTTTACCTTAATAAAAAGGCCCAAAAGGGGGTTTCACCAAAAATCTCATTTTTTAAAGATTTCATAGAGGTTACGTCCATGTTCTGCATTTTTATATTTTTGTAACTAATTTGCCCTTATATAACTTAGCAACTACACTTTTTATGGTTACACCATCTATGATTCCCAAAGCTTTTAAGACCCATCCACCAACACAAAGAACTGTATCATTACCAATAAGGAACATTGGACTCAACAAATCACGACGGTCAACAATCGATCTATCAATCAATTCATGATCGCTTGTGTTCAAATTATAGCTGTGTGAGTGATTTTCTGATCACACTGCCAACTCAGTATTCAGCTGGAGAGCATTGGCAGAATAGATGACACCTGGCTGACCTGCAACAGAAGGAGAAGATTCCGACGGTGGTTCGTCCATCCGGGGGCACTCCGACGATCAAGTCAGTAAAATATCTCTCAAAGATAATAAAAGTGCTTAACTCACTATTCAGAACATAAAAAGCATACATTAGACCCATGGGGGTGCCTCTCTTTTGTAGCCAACACAATCCTAATCCCAATAGAAGCCTAGCTCTAATGGACTTAGGATTACTGCTAATCTTGGACTCCCAATAGGATTAGGATAAACTCTCTAAGAGTCTTATCTTTACCCAAACTGAAGTCTTCATTTTAGGACTCTTGTCCCTTATCTGCTTATCTCAGATTCTGATATCTTTAGAGATAACCTCGGCCTTACTGAGATAACCTCGGCGTCATGACCTGGACACGTGGCACCTCGGCTGACACGTCGGCATTACCTTGGCCACGTGTTGGTACTCAGAAAATATATCCCCACAACTGCCTCTTAAGTTCTATTGCCTCGGCATTCTGAGGTAATGGAACCTATATCGATACTTCCTACCAGTACATCGGCTTAAGCCGAGATCATCATTATAGGTCGACATGTCTCCTTTTGAATGTTAATACAACTTTCCTTCTCTGAATGGTTGTACCTTTGTCTTCTCTTGACTACTTTTGCATGATTCTATACTTAGAATATTTTGTATATCTTTAATATACACTTCAATCCTTGTGCAACCTTCTCGGGGTGACATACCTCAGTTATACAAACTGCTGATTTACCTCGGCAAGTACAAAAGTACCTTTCTTGTCATAACCTTGGTTTCACCTTGTAAATTTTTTCATAATTTCAACAAGTGTTTAACCTTAGTCTTTAACTTGTAAACTTCTCTCAAGTTTCAACAAGTGTTAAAGATCATCTCGGTTTAACTTCAGCTTGTAAGTTTCAACAAGTGTTAAACATCATCTCGGTTTAACTTCAACTTGTAAACTTTTCTCAAGTTTCAACAAGTGTTAAACTAATCTTAGCTTGTAACTTCCAACTCCCAAACATCATTCTTCAGCCCTCTGCCCTCGTGTGTCTTCCTCGGCTCTAGCATATTTCTCGATTCTGGCCATGAGTTCCTTCATACTTTTTGGCAATATCTTTGCCAATGACTTTCGAAGCATACAATCATCTTTTAGGTCGTTCTTGAAAGACACGACCGCCACCTCTTGATTGCACGCAGGTATTCGATTAAACACCTCGTAATACCTTTTGGCGTAGGCCCTAAGGCTTTCATCCTCATTGATTCTCAGAGCCATCAGCGAGTCCATCCTCAACGGCTGTAGTTTGTTCGTCACAAACCTGGCCACAAACATCTCGGCCAGGCCTTCCCAGGTTTTCACAGTTCCTTTCGGCAACTTGTGAAACCAGTCTGATGCAATTTCCCCAAAGGACGAGGGGAACACCTTGCAGAGCAATGACTCGTTCCCGGTGTATAATGCCATCGAGTTCAGGTACAAGCCGACGTGAAAGTTCGGGTCTGACTTACTGTCGTATATTTGGAACCTCGGCATACTGAATTTTTTCGGGGCCTCAAATTTGTCCAATTCTACAGAAAATGGTGTCCTCGGCTTGACAGGAGAGGTCACCTCGGCATCTTATCGCTTTCTCTGGAGGTAATCCCTCAGATTCTCCTTGGTTCGTCCAGGAGCTTGGCTATCTTCGGATTTCAGCCTCTTTGGTGAATTACTTCCAGTGCTATTATGAGTCCTTTTGGACCTCCCTCCATTGGTTGCGTCGAAACAGAGTTCCTTCCCCTGATCATGTTGATGTTCTTTGGGGTCAGCTTCCTTGGTGCAATGCGTCCTCCGTGAATCTCCCCTTCTTGATTCTCCTCGCCTGACCCCCCTTAAAGGCCGGTGAGAGTGTTCCTTGGTCCTATCGTGTTGAGGAGTCGTAGGAGTTGTCTTCTGCCCCCCTGTCTGGGCATCTTTCTTAGCCGCTGGGATTGGCGTATCTTGTAATAAGAACGGTGGCTGCATGACGTTGTTCTGCATCATGAAATTGACAATCGTTTGCAGATCTGCCAATTTGTTTGTCATTTCCTTCATCTCGTCGTCTCTTCGTAAGCATCTATCTTTCCATACCTGGAGGTCGTCCTCGTTATAATACTTGCTTTGGTCTGATTTCTTCGGCACGTCGCCCTCCTGGCCAACGTCCTCTTTTTCGTGATTCTTATCACGAGTCTCTTCGTTGCAATTGTCTTCTTCGACGTCAAGGTCAATATGTTTCTCACTCTTAGTAGGGGTGTCGTCCCCAACCTTCTCTTTCTGTCCGTCGTTGGCCATTTATTCTCCTTTCTTTCCCACGATGGTGCCAAATTGTGTGAGTGATTTTCCGATCACACTGCCAACGCAGTATTCAGCTGGAGAGCACTGGCAGAATAGATGACACCTGGCTGACTTGCAACAGAAGGAGAAGATTCCGGCGGTGGTTCGTCCACCTGGGAGCACTCCGACGATCAAGTAAGTAAAATATCTCTCAAAGATAACAAAAGTGCTTAACTCACTATTTAGAACATAAAAAGCATACATTAGACCCATGGGGGTGCCTCCCTTTTGTAGCCAACACAATCCTAGTCCCAATAGAAGCCTAGCTCTAATGGACTTAGGATTACTGCTAATCTTGGACTCCCAGTAGGATTAGGATAAACTCTCTAAGAGTCTCATATTTACCCAAACTGAAGTCTTCTCCCATTCTAGGACTTTTGTCCCTTATCCGCTTATCTCGGATTCTGATATTTTCAGAGATAACCTCGGCCTAACCGAGATTACCTCAACATCATGACCAGGACATGTGGCACCTCGCTTGACACGTCGGCGTCACCTTGGCCATGTGTTGGTACTCAGAAAATATATCCCCACAAGAGCCATGGAATTTGAATCCAATTTTTTCGATTGTACTATGAATCTATCAATAAGAATTTGTTTGGTTCAAATATTACCATATGTTGATAGATCTTTGCACTTTTTCGAATGATTTTGTTTCCTTTACGTTGTGTTTGATTGAAAGATTTGAGAAGGGATTGGGAAAGAAAAATTGATTAAGGGATTTGGGAAACCAAACACATCGTTACTTTCAAACCTATACATATATATACATATTTACTAGCGGTAATCCATACTATGCACGAAAAAATAGACTATATACATTTTGTGTGATAAATAAATTATTCTAA